AAACTAAAAAGCTGAGATATGATTTTCTTTCACTGGGAAACTGGGGATTACTCTCTCCTTTTAGCAAAAAGGAAAATTCCGTTTGCAAACATGGGTATGTGCTCTGCTATACAAGTGCTGACTCTGTCTTAGAAATTGTAGTGGTTATTATCTGTGGCTATGCAGCACAACATCCCTTTGTGCTTTGTGTTTTCCTACCTTTGTTGCAGGACCCATCACGGTTCATAATCTAGTACATTGGATAAACTGGCAACAAGCTTGGTTTTAATTCATCTGCTGTGCTGTAATTTGTCTTTGTTCATTAGCTTCATGCAGGCAGATGATCTGTCCCTGCAGCAGAGGTGCACACGACAGCAGGAGCAGGTGCTGCTGTTGCCACCCCAAGGTGAGGTCTCTCCTCCCAGGATTCAGTGCTCAGGGTCTCTGCCTACACAGGCAATTCAAGTCACCACCTAATTTTAAGTGTTTAATTTTCACATTCCAGGTTGCCCCTTCACAGATCCTCTTTCTCTATTGAGTAGACAGGAAACCAAGTTTCTGTTAGGCACCCAAATTAGATACCTAAAGTAGACAGTCTGAGTAGTCCCCAAAGTGTTATTTTTCCATATGTTTTACAATATATGAACTGGATCATTCTTAAGAACCATCTCTTGGTAAAATGAAGGAAATATACTGCTTATGACATTGTTTTCTCTCTCTCACAAGTGCATCTCTCTGTTTCTAATTGCTGTATTGGGATCCACTGCTTCTGTGTGTGTACTTTTGCAATAGGTCTAAAATGTCAATAATATATCCTAATGACCAAACAGAGAATGACAATTGCATGTAATTGTTCTCTTGGAGTGATCTCAACATCTGCCAGGCAGCATACCAGATTTTCAGTTGTGAATCTCTAGTTGTGAATCTGTTTAGTTAGGAACACAAGGGAAAAATTAAGCAAAGGAAACATAATAACATTTTTCTATGGACTGTACAGACTGTAGTATAAACTTGAATTGTTTTAATCAAAGTGGAGAAACCCTTAAAAGAAATAACTGAATATAGTCTCATGTGACCATATTGAGGATTAATAAAAATATTGATAAAGATTTCTTTAAGAATTTATTAAAATTAGTAGGGTTGTGTTTTTCTTCTGACAAAGCTAGACCCATCTGATAGAGGCCAACTTGTTGCATCACTAGCTGAAGCAATCATTTTCATTGCTGCTGTTTTGCCATTTTGTCTTTAAAATACACTTGTTCCAAGATTTTTAATGTCTCGTCAAAAGATAAAACATTGTTTTGTTAATATAATTTTATGCTACAAATATGCTTCTTGGTACTACTAGCAGTATCCCACCTGTTCAAAGGGGAGTGTTCCTTGTACTATGGTGATCGAGATATACGTTGATGAGTCAAACTGTTTTTTCTCCCCTCTGCCTTTCAGATAAGCGTAAGAGATGACCATAAGGTGGTTGTAGGGCTTTTCCAAATTGCTAGACCTCACAAAAAAGAGAAAATAAATGAGGTACACTTGCACAAAGAAGTGCAAATATAAACTGACCACAGATAAATGTAAGATATAAATTAAATTTGGGCTATGAATTACAGGATAGTTTCTAAACGCTAGAGGAAGGAAATTATGAAGCAATTTCCAGCAGGAGTTTCAGAAAAAATGTATGTAAGTGCTCTTGAAATAAGAATTGATATAAGAATCTCTATTTCCTCTATCGATTGAGCTGATAGACAACTAGAAGCATTAACCCAGAAGACCTGGCCCAGTCTTTAAGAACAGTGGGTTATTCTATTAAGGAAGAGAAAAAGTGGGCATTTTTTTCTTCTTTCAAAGGCTGTACCTACTAAGCGCACTTTGCAATAGTGTCTAGGAGTAGTTTTACTCTCCGATACAACTCGATGGATTTCATTTTTATTTGTCTATATTTCATTTTATTTAGTATTCAAGTAGATATTGCATATTTTCATGTGAAAGGTTATTTTCATTAACCTCCAGTATCTCTACATGTTCATTTTGGTGAAATGGATCTTATGATGTCAAGAATTGTCTAATAAAAGATAGAAAAATGCATTTATATGCAGATTAAATTAAAAGCTAAGCAGCTGTTGGCAACTCAAGAAAAAGTTTGAAATATTAATTTATGAAATCTTCAGTTTATTATTTATTTATTTATTGGATGATTTTTCATTATCATATGTTTACTATGTAACTTTTTTAATTCTAAAATTTTGGAGTTTAATTTTGATGTCTTTTATCTGTAGTGGTTAATTATTTTACTATTACATTACATAGTCAGCTTTTCAATAGGGCCTAGTTCACAAAGGAATTAATAATTCTACATGTTCGAATGCCTTGATGGGACCAGATATTCGAATGGGTCTTTTAAACATGCTTTCCACAATAGATCTTCAGGATATCTCAGGCTGGAAACAAAATATCTGGCACATAACACAGTTAGTTCTAAAAACTTTTTTCGATTTCCTTGTCAAGATATTTACTTGTATCATAATAGGAATTATTGGATATTCTAATGAAAATTTTTCATTGCAGACAATATTTAGTAACTTTATAATGCTATGTTGGATATCTGGGGGAAAGGAAAAAACAAGCATAAGAATCCCTTAAAAAGAAAGTGGAGAAGTCAAAGATGAAGTCAAAACCTTATACATGAATTAATTTTCTCGTCAAGCTGAAAATCTCTGAATTGCCTGGAAAACAAAGAACAACAAAAAACCATTGTATTACTAAAGACCTTTTTGCCAAAGTGAAACCCCACTCTCTCATGAGTGTGTCTGGCACTTACTAATTTGTCCTTTTCTGACAGTTTTACTATACTTGGCTGCAGTGGGCTCCTCTCTTTTTTAGACAAATACATCTTTTAATACATTTGTCAGCTGGCTGGTCTGTAATTCATCTGTTGTGCTGATCCCCTCCAGCAACATCAGAACAGGCAAAATGAAAGACAGCAGAGGAGGGATGTATATCTGGTTTCTCTGTAATGGATTAGACGCAAAATCTGAATGTCCTCTTTCCCACTAGTCAGAAACCACACTCCAATACAGACAGGACAGTCCTGTCAAAAGCAGTGTGCTGAGAGGGAAGGAAAAAGGCATTTCTTCAGAGGCTGACTGGTTTCTTCTGCAGTGCGTATGCAGGTAGTCGAGTGACACCTGACTGAGTGTCAGTCAGGAACTTCTTTATAGAACTTTCCTTTTCCAATGAAAGGAAAGCAGGAATTTTTACTGGATAAGGCAAGTCCAGAAGCTGGTAATACAATTTTGTGAAGGAGGGTTCATTTTAAAATCTGGATTTGTTATAAATAACAATGTTTGACCATTTTGTCACAAACAAAAGAGAAAAATTTCAAGTCTAGTAAATGTTTTATTTTAAGCACTGATATTTAACATTAAATTCTATGTTATTGTGCAGTATTATGAATAGAAAATATGATTTCAAAAGGAAAAGTGAAAATATTTTTGAGTTTAATGTTTAATATTGTCCACTTGTTTTCTTTTCCAATTTTCTTTCAAAAAAGAATCTTGATTAAGATTGACCCAATTTCACAGGCACTCTGATTTCAATGAATTGAACAGATAATTCTGCTGAAGCTTCTGCAGTTACCTCTTCTTCAAAAAGCCGAAGATACAAACTAGTCATAGAGATAGGGTGAGAATGCTGAATAGTAGGAAAGAGGAAAGAAGCTCTTAGGTTGCTAATTCCACTTTTATGTGGGGGTTATAACACGTAAATGGAATAAAATGTGCTTTGAAATGTGACCTGTCTAAAATGTGGCTATATACATGCATATATAATGCAAATTTGAACTGTGTGATTGTTGTGATTTTGAGAAGAAAAATAACAGGCATCTAGAAGGTGAAAGAGAAATCCAGAAAGGATCAGTTTAGTATTTTTTTTCCTCTGAAAGATAGTATTTTCCAGAAAAAAAAATCAGTTCTGCTCTGAAGATATTGTGTTAACTCTGGAAAAGAGATTCAATCAATGAAGTGTGAAATAGAAGGATTTTAATCCCGCTTTCAGTGCAAATCTCAATGTGGCCTTAACTATGGAGTTACTAATAACATTTTTATAATAATAAAAAGTCGTATCATCTGGAGTTCATATGTAATCATGTAAAGTGTTCCAAATTAATTATGAGACCTGGATTTTAATTTTGATCATTCAATTCCTACAATTAAAAACAGCCTTTCCTTCTTTCTTCTGTCACCATTTACAAAATCACTTCTGAGGAAACAGAAAACAAGACTCCTGACAATGAAGGCTGTGAGAATCTTGGGATTAATACTTATGTGCCTCACCCCATTTATTTGCTCTATTACAGGTGTGAAATAATACACTATATGCCATATGGTGAGGTTTAATCCTATCAAATTTCACACGTACTACACACAGGGCATGTTTTAGTTTTGATTTTATTTCCTTGCCCACCCTTCTTGGTTAGTGACACATGAGAGAACTGATGTGCAATTGCCATTTCAGGAGACATATAATTTTACCTTAGTTTTTCTTTATTCTGTCTTGCTGTTTGTAGCTCTGGGTATCATAATGTGAATCTTTCTAAATAAAAAAAATCCTTTAGAAAAATGTCGGCCTTAATTTCAAAGGTTAGCTGAAAGAAAAAGAGATTTGTATCAAAATCTTCCACATCAGGGTCATCATCTTAATCAGGCCTTTTCTGTAAAGCTATAATCTTTTTATTCATGCTGGTGGAAGACTTTGTTTGCTATGGTTAAGCCAGAAACAAAATTAAACCTTTTCCTCAGGTATGTTTGTTGCCATTAAAGATCAACCTTAGAGAAAGGTGGTAATTAAACTGCTGATGATCCACATAAGAGCTAAGTTTACTTACAGAATGAAACACAGCAGTGTAGAAAACATTCCTCAGCTGGAGAGAATTTGACTCTCAAAGACAAGTTTCCCTTGATATTGAGAAGACTGTATTGAGGAGAAGCTTGATAAATATTATTTCTTAGTCTGTTTACAAACCCAAGTGTAAAATGAGACTCAAGTGTCAAATGGGAGACACATATGACCTCTCCTACTGTTTGGCTAATGTGCTGAAAAATACCATGTGAACAGCCATCCTGAGCTACTGGAGCGGCACTAAACTATTACTATAAAATGGAACAATGAATGGCACTAGTCAAAAAACCCTGGGGGAGGTGTGTGAAAAAATGAATGAGGGGTTGATGTAACTTCTCTGACTGCTTTCAGAGACTGAGCTGATCTTTGAATGGGAGGTAGAAATTATACATTACTTGGAGATGCCTGCACTGACAGTTGTGAGCTTTGCAGCTCTCCAGGCTGGAAGCTATGTAGTCTCATTAGCACAGAGTTGCTCCCAACCTGAAGTACAAAACTTAACATCTTGTC